ATAATTCACTAATTAACCACCCACAAGAGATAGATTGTTTATAACCACCTGTGATTGTTAGTGTCCACAGATAACTGTTATTGGTATGGCCCATAAACAACAAAGGCCTAATCCTCATTGTGCCTATATTAGCGCCCCCAGGATACAAGAATTAACCTACAACAAAAAGTTATTCTCCTACATGTTTGGGAGATACTCCAGTGGAAGCATGATGGACTTGGGAAAATTTACAATGGTCATGGCATTATGATTCTAGAGAGGAGAACAGAGGGGAGGGAATTTGGAGAGGGTGAGAGGAGAGTCCACTGCCAACTAAATTAAGAATCCCGTTCATGACAGTACTTGTTTAATCTTAATTATATCTTAGAGACTGCACTCCTAGTATCGTCACATTAAGGATAATCTCAACATGTGAATCTGACAAAGACACAAAAACTGAGCCCATAACAGATGGTAAAACAGAACATGCCATCCACCAATGGAAGGAATTATTTCTATTCCTCTCGAGGAAATAATAACATGATTACAACAAACTATGCATGATAAACAAAGGTGTGTCATCAAGACATCCAGGGCTGAAAGATCTAATGGTAAATCCAAAAAGGGTTGAACCAAGAGTGACCTCAGAATCCACATACAAGCTTCAGTGGGACAGTGTCCCAAAACTCTAAATGGAATAACTCGTGTGCTAGGCAGATTTCTGATTCTCCAAGTATGTCCACATCTTAATCCATAAAATGTGTGCTTGAAACAGGGAGAGTATTCTGATTTTCTTGATAGGCTCAATGTAATCACCGTGGTTCTTTAAAGCAGGAGAGGAAGGCAGGAGGGGGAGAAACAAAGAGCGCGAGATACCTCAGTCTGATGTTGGAGAGAGACCGCAGGCCACAGAAAGCAGTAGTTCTTTACAAACTACCTAAAGCAAGAAACTGGATTCTCTTCTCCCAACGGAATCTGTAGTCCTTATGACATCACTTTAAGACAGACTTTAGATTTCTGATCTCTGAGACTGTAAGAGAATAAATCTGTATTGTTTTAAGCAATGAAGTTGGTGGTACTTTGTTGCTGTAGCAATTTGGAACTAAAACAAACTACTCTTTAGATCCTTATTCATGATGAGACAGAAGACAAACCAACCCTAGCGCAGAACTCCTGCAGTAAGGAATAGGTGGGCTAATGTTGCCTGGTTGGTTGATGAGTCAACAACTAAATCTATTTCTCAGTTAAAACACCTCTGAAAAAAATCCTCATCCTTCTTATATGTTGATCCCCCCCAAAAAAAAGTTTAAAAAGAGAAATAAATGAGTTGAGCTTTAAAGCTGAATTTTATATATCAATTATTCAAATGTTGAGGAAAGAACAAAAAAAGGAACACATTTTCATATGTAAAAGTTGATTTTAAAAGTTTTCTAAGGTGGCTTCAAAACTGAAGGAAAATAAGTCACAACTGTAAGAGGCAACATTAATATCTATTGATAATTACTTCAACTCCTAAACCTTTCAATCCCTGTTTAAAGCAAGTGTGATCTAAAAATAATCAAGGTATCTAGGGTAGTAAGAATTAAACCAATGTGAAAGTTATTTGTGAAATATATATACCCATATGCACACACACACACACGTAACCTGCATATAAGGGCATGCCTTTAGACATATACGTATTTTGATACACACTAAAATTAATGATTCCACTATTACTACAGTACAATAAAGATTATCAATCTGGCACCTGCACTGTGGCTCAATGCCTAAATCCTCAACTTGTAAGCGCCAGGATCCCATGCAGGTGCCAGTTCGAGCCCTGGCTGCTCCATTTTCCATCCAGCTCCCTGATACAGCCTTGGAAAGCCACAGAAGATGGCCAAAACCTTGGGACCCTGCATGCATGTGGGAGACCTGGAAAAAGCTCCAAGATCCTGGCTTAGAATCAGCTCAGTGCTGGCCACTGTGGGGTTGTAAGCCACGGGTTGGAAGATCTTTCTCTCTGTGAATCTTTCTTTCCAATATAAATAAATCTTAAAGAAAAGATGATCAACCTGCAGAGTCATGTTAAAGTTTCATGCACAAAGTTTAACTTCCGTGGTTTCTGAAATATTGATATATCTTTGTTTCCTATGCTAGGAGATGATATTTCTCCTTCAAACAAAAATCTCTCATATCTTTGACAATGTTCATGTTTCATATTCTTATTATTGATCTGTCTATAGATATGTTAAGTTAAATGCTAAAGATACTTTCAGATGCAGAGTAAGCCATATTAGGTATAGAAGTGGAAAATGACTCCTGTTATCCCTATGTTCATAATTCTATTTAATTAATAATCTATGTGTGATTATATTAGATACTCCACTTGGTTGTTTTTTTAAGATTTATTTTTATTATTTATTTATTGGAAAGGCAGATATACAGAGAAGAGAGACAGAGAGGAAGATCTTCCCTCCCATGATTCACTCCCCAAGTGAGCGCAACGGCCGATGCTATGCCGATCCGAAGCCAGGAGCCTCTTCCGGGTCTCCCACACGGGTGCAGGGTCCCAAAGCTTTGGGCCACACTCGACTGCTTTCCCGGGCCACAGGCAGGGAGCTGGAAGGGAAGCGGGGCTGCCGGGATTAGAACTGGCGCCCATATGGGATCCCTGGCGTGCAAGGCGAGGACCTTAATCACTGCGCCACCGTGCCAGGCCCTCCACTTGGTTTTTGAAATTAATGTATTTTAGCATAATGATGAGAAAGTGAAATGTCTATGCAGGAAATAAAAATAACATTAACCAAAGCAGTGATCTGTCACTTCATTTTCTATGTCAAGTCTTCTTGGCCTCTGGCAAAGTGAGGCTACTGTGGGAACAAAACATTCTTCTGCAAATGACTTCCAAGCCAGGCTCAAGTCTCTCAAAGGCCCCTTCCAATATAAGTTTTCAGAGACTAAATATCTTGGAGCATGCATTAAGCATGAAAAAGTGTCCTTTCACTAGTGAGATTAGTTATAAACTGGCCAGGAATAAGACCATTTTATTTTTGAAAAGTCAAGAATATAAAGCAATTAGTGAAAAACAAAGATATTTGCTCAGTGTTAGAGTATCTGCCAATTGTCAGGCCTGCAGAGTTGTAGAGATTATGCTATGTGTCAGAGGAAAAAGAGATCAAAACACGTTTCATGTGAACAGTAGCTTTCCACACTCAGTCTGTTTCCTGAAACTTTGAAAACTGACCTTACCAGATGCCTTGCCAAGTTTTTAGGAAGAAAAAAACAATGAGTTCGGCACTGGAATGTCAAGTGTGTGCACTTGCAGAATATCTATGTAGTGAGACCTTGATGCGGAGATTCCACAAAGGATTCCCTCGGCCTCTAGTTCTTCTTGTCTCAGCCGTGTCCGTTTACCTCAGGATGCTACATAAACGTGCTCATTCTGATGCATGTCATATCCTAGACATAGCTAAGAAACAAAGGTGCCAGTGGAGGATACTGTGTGCAGCTGTCAGCACACGGATGGTCGCAGAAACCACACCCAGAGACTTCCAATCCCATCCATGGTGCAATAAACCGGTACCAGATGTAACCTTCTGCTGTAACAATGAGAAAACTGGAAAATAGAAATAAAAATAGGCCAAATGATGAGGAGAGGAGTACGAGCCTACAAAAGAAGAGCAAACAAGATAAGCCCTATCATCACCAGAGTTTGCTACCTTGAAAGTACTTTCTGGATGGTCGTACAGAGAGGCGGAACTGAAACTAAGCATGGGAGTCTTGCTCAATTGAAGAGATGATGACCAAAGTGCAAGAAAGCTGGGACAGTTAGGATTTACCCAGGAAAGCGCCAGAGGACAGGCAGATGTGTAGGAAGGGAACCATAAAACCCAGCTATGGGTCCCCATCTCTATCAGTGAATACTGACGTGGGGAGTCAATCGGCAACAAGCCCCCAGTAAAATCCTACAGGCTTGGCAAAAATGTGTCCTAGAATCCATGCAGAGCTTGGGGGATGTGTATGTTACAAGCAATATGAATAAAGAGACAGAGGAAGTCAAGGCTCAGTAGTGGGTTCAATTAACCACTAAAGAATACCTTTTTCTTTGTTTATTTGTTTTGTTTTGTTTTTTATTTCTTTTTATTTTATTTTATTTTATTTTATTTGGGATTTCCCCCCAAACTTCCACCCCCCCGAAAGATTTTCCCCATGTTGCTACAATAGTATAGTATAGTTCTTCATAAGGAGTCATGATTCCATCCGTCTGTACCCCAACACTGCTGACACAATGTCAGATAGTCCGGCATCCCATTGTCCACACATTTCCAACAGAATACCTTCCACCTGGCCTAACAGAGCGTGAAAAGGAGCCTCAAATAGATTCAGCAGACTCACAAACAGCTGTCTACAAAACAAAATCCAACGCAGTTTGCCAAAGTCAGCAAAATTAAGGCACTCAATAAGTGGTACTATCCAGCATCTGATGAAGATAATTAGACCTTTAAAAATGAAAACATAAGCCACCGTCAGGTTTAACGTTAATCAGTACAGAAGCACACAGAGAAAGAATTGAAGGGGGAACAAATAGAACTCAGGGAATTCTTGAGAGAAGGCTTTAAAAACAGGAAGAAGAAAAACAGTAAGACAGTCAACGTCATAGCACAAGGTGTCAGAAGAATCAGGGGGGTCTCGCAGCATGGAAATCAAGTCAGGAGAAAGTGACCGACGGGAAGTCACATCCGATAAAGGGTGCAAAGTATTCATTAGATTGGACAAGAAGACAGCTGCCAGACTTGGCCACAGATTGAAAACATTTGAGCAGTGACTGGCTTGGGAAGAAGGAGAGCTGGCGGCCATTTCCTCAAGACGAGATTGTCTTTGACTCAGGGTGGGCAGATAGGCAAACATTCCACATTGGAAAACAAAGTTTACAAATTCTACAATCTCCCTTGGCCACGCGTTCTGTCACTTCCAATCACATTGCCGTCTAACACATAAACTTCTCTCGCTATGTCTTAGGAAAGTAAAATGGTTACCAAAAAAGGCGTTCAGCAGCTTCTGAACCTGAATGTTGCTGCCCACAGTGCGGTACAAGCCCTCTGTCTTGATCCCTAGGGAAAGAAAATTGGGTCACTTGGGTTGATAAAGCTGTCCCTTTCGTCTCTCCTACGCGAGAGAAAGGAGGGAACGGGCACACGGAGGGCAGTTCAGACACACAATGCTCTCCTTGTCCTGCCCCTGCACCCTAGCCCTCCCCTGCAAAGGGGAATACTTCTGAAGCCTCTCTCCCAAACACCCATCCTTTGATTTGGAGTGTACCGAGCACTCATTACTCTCGATGAGAAGAGGATTCGGATGTTCAGTAAACAGAAGCACAGGCTTAGATTGGGCGGGGGGGGGCAGCGGACAGGTGAGACCTGTGCTGCCGTGGTGGAAGGGAGCTGCGATTTCACGGAGCCAGGAGGAAGTATTGATCTGCAAGGAGCGCCTGAGCAGCACACGGCGCAGGGGGTGGGACTCCGGCAGATGTGAGGCAAAAGGCCATACCCTGCTCTGAGGAAGGCTGGAAAAAGAGGCCCGGCTCATACATCACCCTTGCCCCCCACTCTAGAATCCTCGAAGGGAAACGAGGAAGAATGTGGATCCCGCATCTGCCTTTGTTTATCTTTGCTGATATCAACTTAGAATCCAATATATATTGTGTCCGAAATTTACCTCCTGTGTGTAGATTGCAGCCATCCTAATGCTACTTAAGGAATTACAGGTGTATTTTTGCAATACTTCACAAGTCATTCGAAGCACTTTCTCTTTAAAAGCAGCAATCCACACATGATCCAAATATGCTTGGACATTAATTTGTTAGAATTCTACAAATTGTATCTAATGCTCGAGGTTTATGAATGGTCCTCATCTCTAAGATGAGTCCTGACCAAGAGACTTTATTATTGCTACTTCAGAGAAACTGCCCCGGGATAAAGTCACAGTGATCCAATTCAACAGTGCCGAAGCCATAGCTTCCTCATGGCAGGTTAAGAGCAAAGCTGTGGCTCTTACCTTTGGACTCAATGATATTGATGCACTTCCTAACAAACTTGAAGCCTACTTCATTCAGTTCCACTGTTTCAAGAGAAGGAAACCAGAATTAGATTCAAGTGCAACCAGAGTTTCCTATCACACATTTAGTCGTGATGCTAAGAAACGCCACTGAGCAAACCAAGGCTTTGCTTGCTCATCTCCAAACACCCTTAAATGGAGAGCTCCATTTTATTAAGGTTATGTTTTATGGCTTTAACTTAGAATACAAAATGCTTTCCTTTAGCCTTTGCATTACACCTGCTGTAGGCATGAGCAACATAAAATGTGAAATGCTAGCCTGGAAATTCACACACTTTCAATCCTGAATCCCGAACAAGACAGGCATGTGTTTCCTGTATATTACGACCGCAATCCCCATCATGAGATAACAGGCAATTTTAATACCAATAGAGCTAAATTTCACTTCACACAGAGGCATGCATATGCAGACTTGCATCAACAATATATATCACACATACATATTTACTATGATTAGGATGTTATCATGTCGTAGACAAGAAATCTGAATGACTCACTTTCTTCCTGTTTCGTTATGGGGCTGTGGTAAATCTACAAAAGAAGAAGAAGAAAAAAAAACAGAGCCATGGCTATTGTGAATCACCACAGTTAAATAGTGCAAACAGTAGCAAATCTCTTTACCCAGATATACCATCAAAATCACTAGAGAGTCTGTGGTTTTAACAAGAAGGAAAAACAGGGTAAATAAATGGCAGAAAATGTGCCCAGATCTCTAGAAAACAGCTTAAAGGTCCCTGATAATTGGGCCCGAGCGCTATGGCCTAGCAGCTGAAATCCTCACCTTGAACGTTCTAGAATCCCATATGGGCACTGGCCTTAGTCCTGGCAGCCCCACTTCCCATCCAGCTCCCTGCCTGTGACCTGGAAAAGCAGTCAAGGATGACTCAAAGCCTTGGGACCCTTCACCCATGTGGGAGACCCGGAAGAGGCTCCAGGCTCCTGGCTTCAGATCGGCTCAGCTCTGGCCATGGTGGCTGCTTGGGGAGTGAATCAATAGACAGAGGATATTCCTCTCTGTCTCTCCTCTTTATATATATATATATGACTTTGCAATAAAAATAAGTAATTTTTTAATAAAAAGATTACTACATAGCATAGAGTTTACTGGTGTGGAAGTTGTAGCCAATCCATCTTGGACATTAACTGCTACAAGTTTGCAGCATTTTTTTTTTTATGATGAAACAAAACAGCAAGAGGGAAAGGAAGTCATTTTCCCATGGACACCCAGGTCTAGGACGTTGGTGATAAAAACGAAAGTGTTTCCAACCCCAACAGCCCAAACCAAAGGCTAGTTCATGGCTGCTCGAGCCTCTCTGGAGAAAGGCCAATGAAACAGAGGTCACCCAGATTCCTTCGCATCATTGTCAAGTTACGCATTGGGTTTGATCCAGGAGAGACCAGAAAAGAGTTTTTCAATTTTAAGGACTAGTCCTGGCTGTGAGTCCATGTCACCAAGACCGGCACACCTTTTCCATTCACTAGATTTCAGAACTTTGGTCATTCTAGGGCTCAGGGTTGGAGATGTCCCTTCACGGTTTGAATGCCTTTGATACCTGAAATAAAGGCATGTACACAATATGTAAGATTACTAGATTAGAGTGTTCAATCAAATATCATCTACCTGAGCAAGGGGAATCCATGGAAAAGAAGTCCTCCTTATACTGTTAGGATCTACTTTAACAACCTCTGCTTTAGGGCCCAGCGGCATGGCCTAGCAGCTAAAGTCCTCGCCTTGAACACCCCGGGATCCCATATGGGCACTGATTCTAATCCTGGCAGCTCCACTTCCCATCCAGCTCCCTGCTTGTGGCCTGGGAAAGCAGCCGAGGACGGCCCAAAGCCTTGGGACCCTGCACCCATGTGGGATGCACAGAAGAAGTTCGTGGCTCCTGGCTTCGGATTGGCATAGCATCGGCCGTTGCGCTCACTCGGGGAGTGAATCATCGGACAGAAGATCTTCCTCTCTGTCTCTCCTCCTCTCTGTATATCTGACTTTCCAATACAAATAAATAAATCTTTTTTAAAAAAAAAAAAAACCTCTGCTTTAAAAGAAAATGCTGTGTATATGTCTGTAGGTCATGTGTATCTCTCAAGGAGAGAGATTCCTCTACTGGCCTCCCTTTGCTGCCACTTCTATAAACAAGAAACCCTGGGAAGGGTTTGCCATAAGCAAGCATGAGAGAACCCACATTCAGTGAGGACATATCTTAACAACATTCTCCTCAAAAACCTCTCTTCATCCATTGGCCTTTAAGAGCCTAAAGGGAGAAATCAACACGGGAGATGGACTTGAGAGAGAAACTCCTTGCCGAGTCCCCCGGCCTCCCTTCCAAGAAACAACAGAGGCATGCCATAATTAAACACCATGCAAGTGACAAAGAGAAGGGAAGATGGGCCCTGGCCTACTTGGCAAATGCTAATTGTCCCAACTTCCCTTCTCTGTGCCACCTTCCTGGTTGCTATGATTGCAATGTGGGATCCGATGACTCCTTTTTAGTGTCCAGTGCACTGAAGAAACACAGCAGGGAAAACCTAGAATGTAGTCTTTCTTTCTTTTTTTAAGATTTATTTATTTTTATTACAAAGTCAGATATACAGAGAGGAGGAGAGACAGAGAGGAAGATCTTCCGTCCGATGATTCACTCCCCAAGTGAGCGCAACAGCCAGTGCTGCGCCGATCTGAAGCCGGGAACCAGGAGCTCTTCCGGGTCTCCCACGTGGGTGCAGGGTCCCAAGGCTTTGGGCCGCCCTCGACTGCTTTCCCAGGCCACAAGCAGGGAGCTGGATGGGAAGTGGAGCTGCCAGGATTAGAACCAGCGCCCATATGGGATCCCGGGGCGTTCAAGGTGAGGAGTTTAGGCGCTAGGCCACGCCGCTGGGCCCTGGAATGCATTTTTACACTTAACCGGTTTTTGACTGAATAAGGCAAGGAGACAAACAGTACCCAGTGACTGCTGCATCGCAGGAGTTTGGTGCACAAACTTCAGATCCATTGGGAGCTCCTAAAACTGATATAGTACGTCATGTCTTTCACTTTGTTTTCTAAAGCAATACTGTGAGATAAGTAGAGATTACTAAAGCCACCTGCCTATGCGGGAGAACAGTAAGTCCCGGCTGAAATGACTTGCTCTAGCTGATAACTGTGTGATGGCAGAACCAGGATCCAAACCCAGGCTTTTGGGATTCCAACTCCAGGAAGCTGAAATTACTTATCCATGACATAAGAAGAAAATTAATGAAGAGAGAATGCTCTTCAAGGACTCCTGACTGCCCATCTGGGTCTCTCGATGATAAGCACGAATCCTTTCAAAGGGGTCACTTTTCCTCCCTCATAGCAGCACTCTAAATGGAGTAGTTTTGGCCGTAGTATATCAATGCCATTTCTTGCACCAGCTTTATCCTCAAAGAGAATAAGCTCTTAGAAGAGGGGCAGAAAACCCATTTTGAATGAATGATCAATAATTGTTTACCCACACACATAGAAATGATCTTCTATCCTTCAATATGAACATGCATTTAGTTACACAATATGAAGTACAAGCTTACTTTTCTTTCTTAAGGACTTGTGGGCATAGTTATGTTCTCTAACAACGAAACAGCGAAACCTATAATGTAAGGCCGGATTTGATTCCTGCCCTGAGAGTGAAACTAGACTAGCCCTTCACCTTCTTTGCAACTCAAGTTGCCTGATTGAACAAGAGATACAGTATCAACAACTCCTCCCAGCTCTGAAACACGAAGTTTAATTGTCTTAGGCTACCACTAGGGGGCACTCATACACCAGCCTGTGATGCTGTGGCGTCCCCAGCGCCTGAGGGAACTTACAGGTTCTTTTCCATCCATGGCTTCCATCCATAGCCTTCTGTTGGCTTCTGAAAGGGCCTGGAGAGTGATGGTTCCTGGCCTGAAATAAAAAGAATGACATATGTATAGCAGAAAACTCCCCCTGAGAGAATGGATTCATTAGATCTAGAGACCCTCTGCCGCAGGTGCTGTCGTACTGAATAGTTAAAGACCTCTAAAACTCTATTTTCTAAATCATTTTGATTCCCAATGATAATGAGAAAGTTAGAGAATAGGAGCTTTGGAGATCCTGGGCGATGTGGTATCTTTGAGGTCCCATGGCAACAGCGAGTAAGAAAACAGAAAGGTGGTAACACACATATAAAATCACCACGTTGTGCTTGAGCTGAACTAGAGAGATCTTCTTGCCTCCCTGTCTTGGAAGGCAACCATCGATCAGGGCTCGGAGGTGAGCAACGTCACGAGAGGCACAGTCAACTGTCAGGAGAATGGCTTTGCTCCTTCTACCACCTAGCATGGGCCACAAAGCATTTCCACTTGGAAAGACTTCAACCCCATTGAGACTGGCTCAGCCGCGGGCAGGGAGCCTTTTGGCTGGCAAGTGATCTTATGAATAATAAACGCAACTAACACAGATTAAGGACTTTACACATTTAACACCCCGCCCTGAACCCAACAAACCTAGGAAGCACTTCTGGCCAGAGGGTTGTTTCTCAAGGTCACAGGCAGGGAAGTGATTGAGACTTTTGATGCAGAAAACCATGTTCTTAACCACTGTTCTAGAAGACCTCTTCCACACGGCAGGTGACTTTCAATCCAATTTTATTTTATGTCCTTGCGAGCTATCTGCCATGAGCTGAATAGTTTTCAGAAATGTGTATCTTAAAGTTTAATTGCCAGTGCCATCTATTGACAGGTGGGTCTTTAGGAGACTGTAACATCGTGAAGGTGCAGCCCGCAAGAATGGCAAATGGCATTAGCACCCCAAGGAAACGGCCTGAGGGAGTGGGATCTTGGCCCTAGCCCCTCTGCATGCGAAGACGCAGCATTTGTCTTCTCCAGAGAGCTAAGCAGGAGTCACAAAAACACAAGGAGGGAGAGAGGGAGAGGAAAAGAGAGAGTAAGGGAGAGAAAAACAGAGAGAGAGAGAGAGATGGGAGAGAGAAAATCTTTCAGCTGCTGGTTCACTCCCTAAGAGGTTGCAAAAACCAGAACTGAGCCGGTCCAGACAGGAGCCATGAGCTTCTTACATGTCTTCTATGTTGGGTGCAGGGTCCCAAGGACTTGGGCCATCCTCCACCACTTTCCCAGGCCATAAACAGAGAGCTGGATGAGAAGTGGAGCAGCCGGGATTAGAACCAATAGCCATTTATATGCTGGTGCTACAGGCGGAGAATCAGCCTGCTATGCAACAACACTGGCCACAAGGCAAGATCTTTAAAGCTAACACTAGATTCTTCCCAGGCATTGAACCTGCAAGTACCTTAATTCTGGACCTCCTGGCCTCTAAAACATCTCTGTTGTTTGGATCTATCATTCAGACCCACGTATTTTGTTGCAGAGGCACAAATGAGACAAAAAACACTACCCGTATCTAGAGCTACGCCATATCAGCATAGTCTTTAGGGTCCCGAACTGGATAGTTCGGATTGTTTCTATTACTGCACAGGCAGACTCTCCGTACGTTCCCTGGCTAGCTGCACCCTTCGGATGCCTGCCTGCCTGCCTGCTCTCACCTCTGTGATAAGATGGGATTTTCTCTGCGGGTTATGCATGGTGAGAGCCATCATCCAAGCCTTCTGAGTTCCTGGGTGTGAAACAGTAAGCCTCTTTGGCTCTGGTTCTTTATCCTGTCGTACCTGCCCTTCCAGCTCTTACTTCACAAAGTTTCCTTAAGCAGTGAGGCACCCAAATGACCCGGAAGCTTCATCAGCTGGAAACCAGGATTTAGCTTTGTTTTGATTCTTCCGCCTTCACCTTGCACTAAGACATAACTACCATTTTGGATACATCTTCTGGAGCTAGGAAGTCTAGTGCTTTTTGTAAACAAATGAAGAACTGACAGAAAAGCAAACACTTCAAGCCAGATACCCTGCTAAAATCCTCCTGGAATTGCACCTCCCCAGCCAAGAACCAAAACAACTACCATGTGTTGAGCTTCCAGAAATGCTACAGCGTACACACCTCTCAACACACACACACACACAAGTAACTTTCAAAGTTGTGATGTGTTACGGGTCTACGGTTTCAGATACGAATAGGAACATAAATAAATAAGAATGTTATCTTCTCTTCCTGGCCTTGGGAAAGGAACACGACGAGCCCTTGGCTCTGTGTTCCAAGGAAGTCAAGGTCCAGGCGTGTGATGTCTGTTCTGCTTCTGTTTCTAGTGTCGCTGTGACTAGCACAGGAAGCAGGTGGCAGAACTCTCACAAGGCCCCATGTGCAGAGGGGTGCATCAGCACGTCTTCATTATTTCATCTAATGCTCTTTCCCTTAGCATATTTATTCTGCTTAGAATAATAGAATAGAATAGGCAATGAGACAAAAATGTAAAGGGAATGGGTTTTGGAAACCTAGAGAATAAAGGTTTGAGCTCAGCCTCACCGCTCACTGTGTGACTTCAGTTTGGTAAGTCAGTTGAATGTATTTGAATTGCATTCTCCTTATCTGTATAACTCGGATGCAGTGGACTAAATGAGGAAATGCTTTTAAAAACCACAATATGTGATAACTACAATCATAGACATTTCAGATCTTTTTTTTAAAGGTTTATTTTTTCATTTTTATTGGAAAGGCGGATATACAGAGAGGAGAGACAGAGAGGAAGATTTTCCGTCCGATGATTCACTCCCCAGACAGCTGCAACGGCTGGAGCTGAGCCAATCCGAAGCCAGGAGCCTCTTCCAGGTCTCCCACAAGGATGCAGGGTCCCAAAGCTTTGGGCCATCCTCAACTGCTTTCCCAGGCCACAAGCAGGGAGCTGGTTGGGAAGTGGGGCTGGCGGGATTAGAACCGGCGCCCGTTTGGGATCCCGGGCGTGCAGGGCGAGGACCTTAACCACTGCGCCATCACGCTGGGCCCAACATTTCAAATCTTTACTTGCTGGGTTACCTAATCTCAGAATTCCTCACCATTCTGGATGAGGAGGAAACATTTAAAATTCAACATGTATGTGCCAGCATGGTGGCCCCAATTGGCTAATCCTCCACCTGTCATTACCAGCATCCCATATGGGTGCCAGTTCATGTCCTGGCTGCTCCACTTCCCATCCAGCTCCCTGCTTATGGCCAGGGAAAGCAACAGGGGATGACCCAAAGCCTTGGGACACTGCATGCATGTGGGAGACCCGGAAGAGGCTCCTGGCTCCTGGTTTTCAATCAGCTCAGCTCTGGCCATTGTGGCCATTGTGGTCATTTGTTGAGTAAAGCAGCAGATAGAAGCTCATTCTGCCTCTCCTTCTCTCTGTAAATCTGCCTTTCCAATAAAAATTAATTTTATTTTTAAAAAAATGAGTATATAGCATAGCCATGCCTAGAACTAAGTGGCAAGAAGCATGTTTGTTCAAATCACTGCTTTAAGCTGGGAATATGATTTGCAAGTAGCTTGAAAAACAAACTAACAGGGAGGGGATCCCAATGGAACTAGACATGGAAAGGTTCATGTCTTTTAATCACCTTGAGGCTGAAGAACCTGAAACACTGCAGGTTCATAGAAGAGAGATCAACCAGAATTCATTTCCCCGTTTTCACTGGGTCTGACACAGTCAGCAAAACTGATGACACTTCCCTGGTTACTGACAACAATATTTACTATCACAGCCATCTCGATTGGGCTTCTCCATTTTATAATAAAGGAATTATATAGATTTGCAAGCGAAAATTCTGCAGATTAATCACATGCCAATTTTTTAAATGAGGGAACACCTAGTAATTTCTTATTCCTATATATAAGAATACCCTCTTTTCGCGGTCTAATCTTTGTAATTGTCACATTTTTATTTATATAATATTGGGATTAGTCATCCTTCAAGTTCCTTTCTAGCATCCTGATCATTTTGCTAAGCTCCATTCTGTCACTCAGTGTCTATCATACAGAATAATCAAACTGGACTCTAGAGATGCACTTATTCACTGAATTTTGGGTCAACATCCCAATTACAAAGCATCCTTTTTTTTTTTTTTAACAAAATGATTCCAGATGCTCTCATTTTGAAGCTTAAAGGTTAAAACCAATAAACCTGCTCAGATTGGTTGTGAAAGGGAGTTGGGGGCGGGGGGCGGTGGGCACTGGAGAGAAACAAATACAACCAAGTCCGAAACGTACAAGCAGGGCTCTGCTATCTGAATGTTCAGGATCAAACTGTTTCCACCTTCACATTAGCATATGCAAATTAGGGAAAAGTCTGCATCCTTTTAACACTAAGTAGGAAGAATAAGGCTCCCTAATTGTACCACAACCTTCCAGAATGTGTTCCAGGAACAGTTTAGTCCAGGGGCTAAGCACACCTCATACCCCATAGTGGAGTGAGGTACTCCATATTGGAGTACTTGGGTTCAACTAGCGCAGCTGGCATCAGGGCAGACCCTGGTAGGCAGTGGTGGTGGCTTATCTAATTGGGTCTATGCCACCCATATGAGACATCTGGATTCCATGCCCAATTTCTGCTCAAGCCCTCATCCGGATCCAATCACTGCACAACAGATAGGAGCTTTCTCTGTCTCTTTCTTTCTCTGTCTCTTTCAGAGAAGCATAAAAGAATAATTTCAAAGGTATTCCAATTCAGTTATTTTTAATGTTACATTAGTAATGCTCATAAAAACATGAATTTCATTATCCCATCCTTTTCTTAGCATTACCAGCTGAGAAATATGTGATAACATTTTTTGCATATCTGATAACTTAAATCCTAATTCTGGATTATGAAATATGAAATATGTGATAACATTTTTTGCATATCTGATAACTTAAATCCTAAATCTGGATTTCCCCCAGAGCAGGTGAGGCAAATCTGATTGAAAAATAAAAAGGCTTACATAGCAAAAAAAAAAAAAACTACGCACAGCCAGGTTTTCACAGGGATCCCTGTGGAAGGCAGCCAGAAGAGCTGAGACAAGGCTGTCTGGAACAGACTGCTCATTTTCACAAACAGAGGATGACAGTGGAAAATACAAGGTGTACCCAGGCTCAGCATCTGGCATGTGGGTATACTTACACCAGCACCAGCTTACCTTTCGTTCGTCTCTATATCAAAACAGAATCTCTTGTCAATAGACTCCGTCTTCCTTCTCACACAGTACTTCAAGGTTAAGTCCAAGGGTCCCTGATAGGAACAGAATGAGGAACAATTTGAAAAAAAAAAAAAGTGCAGCAGCTTCTTCCGCCTCCTGCAGTGTCCTCGGTGTCACCTGGAAGGCATCTCTCATGGCAGCATGAGCAACGTGCAGACTCCCTGAGGATCCTGTCCTCTCAGATGGTACTCATAGCAAGATGGCAGATGATTTCGCCCTGCTCCAACAGTCAAGGGCTGGGACCAGGAGAAATGGCTGGGGGCGGCCAAGCGCTCTTTCCCAGGCATGGATGGTGAAATGGAAAGCTCACTGCACATCACCTAAGGGAAGCATACGGGAAATGGACTGCTCAAATGGCATTAAGTGTAAATAATAAAAGTTTCATGTGGTCTTTAAGTAGGGAGGTTGTAAGGAAATAAGTGGCTTTTTCAAACCGTTCTCAGAAAGTCAGGGAAAAGGTGAGTGAAGAAGTTTTCATTCAAATGGCAGATGGAGGAAGAGAGACAAACATCCACCCCATCCACTCTCTTAAGGGTGACAGGAATCGCAAAAGCAATTTCTCCAAACGTAGGACAAGAGTAGGGGAAATAAACGCATTTGTGCATTAGTAAAGGTGGCACTGAGTATTTTATTTGTGCAAGATAATGCACCTACTTTCATCTTCTGAGCACTTAGGGAAACTGAAGCTCACTGTATCCATTGACTAAAATTCATCAGCCCCACAATGTTCACTTTCCCTCCGTTAATGACCTCAACAGAGACAATGTGGTACCGCAAAGAGAAGCAACATGTATTTATCACCTACTATGTGTAAGAAGTATATGAGGTATCTGCAAACCAAATTTTCTTTACAACAATCAGTAGGAGGAAGAGGAGCTCGGAGAGGTATGGCAGCTTGTTTAAAGGCACCCGAGCTGGAACAATGGAAATGGTAATAAGGCGAAAGGTGAAGACCAGAGATCTTGTCTCATTTACACCATCTGCTAACTATATGAACCTGGCCAGATCATCCTCCTTTTCTGAGTCAACTTCACCATCTATTAACTGAGAATAACACTCACCCACTATCTCAAACGCAGACACTGCCCAAGAATTGAGTCCCAGCACTGACAAGAAGAAATCATTTCCCAGTCTAATGCAAGGAAATCCAAGTAACTATGTACTATTCCAGGAAACAAGTTCCTCTTGTTTTCGATAAAGAACCTTGCACTGAAACTGCTTTCACTGACATCATGGCACTTCTGCAAGCAGACAATTCCATGAAAAAGGAAGAAGAAAAAGAAAATACTAGAAGAAAAACTTGCTCTCAGCCTTAAGGAGAATACGAAAGTGATGTCTTCTGAGTATGTCTTGGACTTTGGAATAAATACTTCTGAAAAGGAGACAGATAATCTAAATGGTATTACCATCAGAACACCTGACACAATAAATCAAGAGAATTTTAACTCAACAGAGCAGTATCTGGTCCAGTGCAAACACAGACCAGATAAAGTCATTGCATCAGATAACAATGATAGACTTGATTATTTGATAGTAAGTCAACATTTTGTTTCCTGAGATGCAGTCATAGACATGAATCCCCAAAACATAACAAGCAAGAACTTACCTAAAAAGAGAGAAGGAAAGAGAGAGAGAGACAGAGAGAGAAAGAACTGACCTGCTTAGCACCCGGCTTCTGTTCCATAGGCGTCATGGTAAGGGTTTTGGTCTCCTTCTCATATCGGCAATAGTATTTCACCCAGGATATTCCCAATGCCCCTAGAGGAAGAGACAAAAGTGAGCTGCTGGAACAAATGATTTAGCTTTGTAAGAATGAAGCTGTTCACAACATGCTCATCAAATTCTCAGTGCAGCCCCACCCTTTCCCTGAGCCCCAGCCCTGCATGGCCTTGTCTACTACAAATATAGAGAGCCTCGCCTTCACCAATGGCTTTCTACATCCACTCCTGGCAGGCAGGGGAGGGGGGCAGGTGTTCATATTTCCTCTGCCATCTTCCCTATGAGTGGTAACACCCTAAATCTCAGAAGCTGGGAATGCTAGTCACCAGTACCTTCCCTGTAACCTGGCTCATCTGATTGGCCAAAGGATTTTGTCCTATCCCCGATGTCACTTACACTGATATCTCCTTCTTTCGATTCCTTTTAGCACTGAGTTAGTTAAGGACTACTTTTGTTCTCTCATTTTTAAATATTTTGCATTTCAAATAAAACAAAACTTCAGGAGCACCTCTCAAAGACAGTATCAAGCTCAGAATGTCACCTGTGTTGAGATAGAATGTGACAAGTGTGAGCAGACATCTTTAAAAATTAGAAAAAGTTAACTGCACTATGGGAATCATAACAGTTTTTGAAGTGCCAAGATTTCTAAATGTCAGTAGGTTTTGCACCAGTCACCTCTGGTTGTATCTCGTCTGTCTGCTCCTCATAAAATAACTGAAAAGAGATTGAAGTTATAGGCTTTGAAGGTACTAGCTTATAGTTTTTTTTTAAGGTCTCTTTGTTAATTCTTGGAAAGGCAGATCAGATTTACAGAGAGAAGGAAAGACAGAGAAAGATCTTCCATCTGCTAGTTCACTCCCCAATGGCCACAATGGCTAGAATTGAGCTGATCCAAAGCCAGGGGCATCCTCCGGGTCTTCCATATGGATGCAGGGTCCCAAGGCTTTGCCCACCCCTTGCTGCTTTCCCAGGCCACAAGCAGGAAGCTGGCTAGTGGAGCAGCCGGGACATGAACCGGCATCCATATGGGATCCCTGTGCTTGAAGGTAAGGATTTAGCCATTTAGTCATTGTACCGGGTCCTGTGTTATAGTTTCAAAAAGGAAGGCAAAATAGCAAATACAGGTTTGCATAATGTGATTTAGTTTGCAAGGAAGTCTGAAGCCTCTGCAATATTCAATGACTAGGCTCATTAATCCATTTTCCTAGTTTAGCAATGAACAATGCTGTCTTGCCGACTGAACTCATGCTGGCCATTAAGTGCTTTAAGAGCAATCATGTGATTCTAAGTCAGTATATAATGCAAAGTGTGGTGGTAGGGGCCTGGGTTTCGGCATCTCACAGTCCTGAACTTACCTTGGCCTGCAATTTGTTAGTCATAAGACTTTCAAATGGTGATTTCACGGAGCCTCAATGGCCTCATGTGTAAAATGGGAATAAGGTAAGATCAAAGATCAAATATAACAATGTTTTTAAAGTACTCAGTACCCTGTGTGGCACATAACAGGTATAATAAATATGAAGGGCCTTCAAAGATTTCATGGAAAAATGTACATTATAAAAAAAAATGTGTGAAAGCTTATACCCAAATAAATTCATACTAACTAGTAACATAAATAAACAGGATCTAGTTTCAGGCACTAACAAGAATAAAATCTCAGTTTGAAAAGAGTCTCCCCACCCCCTGCCCCCAGGAAAAAAAAAAGAGCCTGATGTTGTGGCTCAGCTGCAGCATACAATATGTACAACAGTTCAAATCCTGGCTAATCTACTTCCGATCCAGCTCCTGACAAATGTGCCTGGTAAAGTAGCAGAAGATGGAATAAGTATTTGGGCCCCTATCACCTCTGCCGGAGACCCAGAGGAAGCTTCTGGCTTCAGACCAGACCAACTCTGACCCTACCAGCCACTTGGAAAGTGGATCAGCAGATAGAAGACTTCTCTTCCTGTGGCTCCCTCTCTGTAACTCTGCCTTTCAAGTAAATAAACAAACTTTTAAAGCGAGAGGAGAGCTTTCAAAAGAATTTCTAAATAAGTGTGATTGAGATTCTAAAGCATTTCTTTATATAAAATATACATATTTATATATTATAGAACTTATATAGAATTTTTATAGAACTTTACACAGAATATATAAATTAATATATTATAAAATTATAATAGAAAATAAAACTATGTGAATAGATGTTTCTCTAAAGAACAAATAAAAATAGCCAAGTTATATATTGGAAAAAAAATATTATATGCCACTAACCGCTAGGGTAATGTGAACTAAAGTTACAATGAGGTTTTATTTCAGTACGGATAGAATAGATATTATCAAAAAGATCAAAAATATGGTACATGCTGGCGAGGATGTAGGAAAAGAATACTCGCATACTAGCTGCAAGAATGAAAATTAGTGTAGCCCTTATGGAGAAAAGCATAGAGATTCCTCCAAAAGAAATCTAAGAACAGATCCTTCCTACTTCCACACTTTCGGGAATGTGTTTGGAGGGATTGAAATTAGCTTATTAAAGAGATATTGACTCAATTCAAGTGTCCATTAACAGATGAATGAGCAAAGATAGTGGACTAATACGACAGAAAGAATGAAATTCTGTCATATGCAGCCAAATAGAGCAGCAGATTACCTTAAGTTTATAAGCCAAACACAGAAACACAACTATCACAGGTTCTATCATATGGACAAGTTTAAAAACATAATCTGAACTTACAGTTACTAAAGACCAAGAAGAGTGAGATAAGGGGGATAGAGAGAGGTTGGATAAAGGGCATCAAAAACTAGTTCAACAGACTTGATGGGTTTCTGTATTCCACAACACATATGGTGATTGCAAACATAGTAATGGATTATATACTATGTAAGTAACTGAAAGAGAAGAGTTGGTAGGTTGCAAACACGGAAGAAGGGTGGCAATTTTGGAGTGTTAATTGATTGGTTTGTGCTGTATATTACGAAATACCACATTATGCCCATAAAGGTGTACAAGTGTTACATGCTGAATTTAAAAAGAAAGAAAGAAAGAAAAACCCATGGCTTTACCAGAATGAATATGATGAAAAAACACTAGCAAAACAATAGCTTTCAAGTGATCCAGTCAAGCAAAAGTGGACCAATAAAGAGCCAAATCATGCCAATAGCATTTTGGGATACTCAAAGCATTTTGCTTGTTGCTTTCCTGGAGAGCTAAGGGATAATAACATGTGTTTATTATGAGAGTGTTCTGAGAAAGTTAGCCAAAGCCCTAGCAGAAAAATACCCAACAAAGCTCTACCAGAGGCTATTCCCCCACCACAGCAACGTTCCCACTCATTATTCTTATCAAGGGCAAGTTTACAAGGGACTCAAAGGGAAATCATTAGACATTCATCTTTACAATCTTGCTTTGTCCCTTTACAAATCATTTTTGCACCCTAATATTAAAAATCACTAAGGGTATACACATACACACACACAAATTCTTTTTGCTCCCTAATATTAAAAACCATTGAGGGGTGTGGGTGTGTGTACACACACACGCATACACACACACACATTACATCAGCTAGTAAAGCTAAACAGATTTCATTAACATGGTTAAATTCCTAGGATCCTCAGTTCTTTGGGGATAGACTAAAAATCTTTTGTTGGGAAATAGCTTCCATTTTTTATATTTACTATTTAATTCCATTTTTTCAATGACCACTTGAAGTCCTCTGATATTATTTCTCTGTCTCCTTTCTGTAATTCACTGTTTCCCTCATAGTCACGGGGTTTCAAAACATGAACAATTCCCATTTTAAATCTCTGAGAAAACCTTAGGTTATACCATCCCAGAGCCTTTTACAGAAAAACTCGTATCTTGCCCTGATTGACTATTCCTCTTTATTCTCACTAGTTTCAAGAGCTGCAGCTATTAAATGGCTCTATGAAAAATACACATGCCCAGGGTTTGCCAATATTAAGTGCAACAAGAGGCAGTCTCATATAAGCCAGCGGATACTTGGGTGTTTTCACACACATTTCTCTTGTGTATATAGATAGCCTTCGATGGTTGGCTGTCCTGGAAGCTTGCATGTCTGGGGTGCTTCTTTCATCCTTTTCTTCAGCTCCTCCATCTCTTCCCGGGTACTGGAGAAATGATTTCTTGTCTGTCAAGATATCATCATCATCACTACCATTATCATCATCATTACCATGAATAAGCATGTATGGGTCAGTGTATAGATAACATGTGCCACAACATTACAAAAAACAAATGGTGTATGCATAGTGCCTAGAAAACAATTTTAGAGTTTAATGGCACTACAGACAAGAAGAGAGTCAAATATAAAATAGCATATTCAAGAAATCACAACAGGAGGTTTTTTTGAATGGGAATTATGTAATGCCCTGATAAATAAATAAAGACTCAGAATTTTGAGATTTGGACTGAGCTCTATCTGACAACACAAAAACAATAATATTATCACAGGAAACTGAATAAATCAGACAATAGGGCTAGCTTTGTGGCACAGTGAGTTAAGCCACGACTTGTATTGCTGGCATCCCATATGGGACTCTCATTTCAACATCTGGATACTCTGCTTACAATCCATCATTCTGTTAATATGCTTAGGAAAGCTGAAGAAGATGAGCCAACTGTTTGGTCCCTGCCTCCCACATGGAAACTCAGATGGAGTTCCTTGCCCTGACTTTGGCCTGGCCCAGACCAGACACATTAGTCATTTAGGGAGCCTCTCTGTCTCTCTCTGTCTCTCTGTCTCTCTCTCTCTCAGATTACTTATATTACAACTTAATGGTATTTTCATCTAAAACACGATAAATTTCAACCACTGTAACACCCAGTCCAAATTCATCGGCTTAGTGAGACATTCCCTGACTCTACTAAACAACATGTGTGTTCGTTCTCTGGTTTTCTTCAAGAATTTTGGTCTTGAATCTACTGTAGCGCTTATCACAAGGAGTCATAATTTATCTGTGTTTATGCTTCCCTCCTTTTACAACTATGTATTCCTTCAAGGCAGAAAAACTTACGTGCCACATTATGATATGTTCAATTTCCTTTATGACATGTGGCAGAGGGTAAATGATCACCGTATCTATAAACATTCAGTATGGGTTGAATAAATGACTGAGTCAAAGAACATATGACAGTTCACTAATATATGCCCCAACACATGGAAAGGATATACCTACAATCACCTATGAAAACCATCATGAGAAATAAAACTATTAAATATACTTTATTTAACTCTAATAATAGTGATAAAAATGAAGACATGCATGTTTATATTAATAAAAGAGTAATAATAAGATAATAATAACCGCACATCAATAAAAGTATTAACAAGACACAGTGAAAGTGTCGTGACTGCCAAGGAAGTCGCTTATGACGGTATTCTAATCTAGCATTAGCAAATTTAACAAATGCTGAGTACACGGAGCTATCGGTGGTAAAAGGGTGGATTTGAACAACAAGCCATCTCAAAGACACAGGGAGCGGAAACTGGAAAAGCAAGGACAGCCCAGTACACTAAAATATCTGGGAGCCATGTCAATGTGGTCTGGACAAGTGCGGGACAATACCCTAGAATTCCAAAGCCAGGATCGCTGAGGCTGAACTTGAACCAGAATGGAAAGACGGAAGAAGAAACCCACAAGCAAACTCACATTCTGCAAGCTGAGCTGCAGCTGCTGTTTGTACGGGAGGAAGTCCTGAGTGAGCTCCACAGTCAGGCTGTTAGAAATGAAGAGGCTGTGAAGAAAGGCCAAAACCTAGGGATAACACATGAAAACAGTTTTATCTTTAGCACCTTCGGATTAGTCAACAACAACTAAAAAGAGAACTCACAAAACGATCTACTCTGGATAGTGTTCAATGTAGTCATAGAAACACAAACAGGCTGACGCACAACTATCCTTAATTAGAGGAGACCATCCCCTGGACTCAGTTTGAAAAAATAATAACTACTCTTTTTCATGGAATAAACAAACATTTTTAATAAAGATAGAAAAGTTCCAATTAAATAAAACATGAAATTAATTAAAACTATGATGCGCTGTCAGTGTTACACCTTAAAGTGTTGTCACTGCAATGCCAAGTTAAGCAAATACTTGAAGGTAGAGTAATTTGATGCACAGTCCCTGAGTGCGTAAATCCTTAAAAGTACTTTGTAAAATAAAATTACAGTACACAGGGAAGTTTTAGATATGGAAGAGAAAAAGACCCATTGGGGATTTTATAATGGAAATATTTTGTAGAAAAAAGAAAGGAAGAAAAGTCACTTGTAAACAATGACCTGAACTTCACTCATAATGAGTTATATATGTAGGAATAATTGAAAACAACTATCAATGATTATTTTTTCAAGTCACGGTATACATTTTTGTTGCAATGTTTCTTTTTTGTAGTCTTATTTTTTATATTTAACATTTTAACTTTGTGTAATATTTCTTATGTAGATATTATATATATAAATATAGATACTATTTTTGAAAGTAGTAATATTAGTATTATATAACATCAGAATCATAACAAGGATTGCAAAGCAAGGAGAAAAGAACATTATGTACAGGACATAACAGAGTGGAAAGAAGATTTATAACTATCTATTTATCAACTAACATGACATCCACATGTTTCTTACACTCTCTAACAGGAAATGATATAATCACTCATTTAGACATTCAAACCAGAAACTAAAGAATCGTCCCCAGTTCCTCCTTTACTTACATTCCAGTTGAATCCATTAGTGATTCCTGCTAGTCCCATCTCTAAAATATATTTTTACTTCTACCACCCTAACTCAAAACAACACCTCCTTTTCCCTCCAATTGGCAGTCTCCTAACTGGCTTCCTCATGTCTACTTCAGCCACTTCCTAGCCATAATAAAACTAATTCCAGCATACCCTGCTTAAAACACCCACTTGGTGGATTTTTTTCTAACATGCTTAGTCTAAAACCCAAACCCATTTTCTTGAACTCAGGTTCTATGCCTTCCTATCAAACATTACCTCCTTCGCTCTCCTTTTCTCTCACAAGTATCTAAAAATAAAAATCACTTCCTTTTCATTCCCTGAGCATACCATTCTTAACATAAGAGGTGTGCACAGGTGTTTCCTGGAATGGTCTTCAGAAAGTCCTCTTGATCATCTGATCTAAAGGACTTTTTGGTTTCTTTCAGTTTCTTTACTAAAACTGGAAAACATCATAATGATGTGCATCTTTCTTTTCTTTCTGTCGACCCTATGAGTCTTCCTAAAGACTCAGTCTTTCTTGCTCATATAGAAAAACCAGTGTCTAGCATAATCTCTGGTATGTAAGAGAAAATAAATGAATAATATGTTTATACATATAGATATATACAACTGATGCACTGATGTGCATTTATACCTCCTCATGGGCAATATATACAGACACACATGAATATATGTGTATACACATTCACACGCACAAGTATACACATACAGATAGAGATGACAGAATTTGGAAGAATCATTGCCACAATATTAACAGTAATTATCTTTGCACAGGTTACCTCTTCTTGTTTTATTTTCTCTATCAATTTTTTCTAAGTTTTCTGCAGTAAGTTCTTTTTTATATAATTAAAAATACAGTAAAAGTAAATATACTTGAGGACAGGTATTTGGTGCAATGGATAAGACAACACTTGGGACACCCACATCCCCAACAAAGCACCTGTGCTCAAGTCTAAGCTCTGCTTCCAATCCTGGTTTCACGCAGATGTAAACCTGGGAGCCTACAGGTGATGTCTCAAGGACTTGAATCCCCTCCACCCATGTGGCAGACCTGAATTCAGTTTCTAGCTCCTGGTGCTAGTCTACCCCCAGTCCCAATTGTGGTGGACATTTAAACCAGCAAATGAAAGATCTCTCCTTCCTTCCCTCTACCACCATCATCATCATCATCAATATCATCAGCATCATTATTCTCTCTCTCTCTCCCTCTACTCTTCCCTCTGACTCCCTCTTTTTCCCTCTCCCCTTCCCTCTCTCTCTCTTTCCCTCTCTCTCTCTCTCTCTCTCTCACCTTCCATTTGTTTCTCTCCTTACCTCCCTGCCTTGTCTCCCTCTTCTCTCTCCTTCCCTCCCTCCTTTCCTCTCTCTCTCCCCCTTCCTCTCTTCCATCTTCCCTTTATCTAGCTCACGCTTACTCTTTCAAATAAATAAAACTAAAATAAAGCATACTTGGGAACGATATTGTGGTTTGGCATGTTAAGCAGCCACCTGTGTCACCAAAATACCTTAAGTGTGGAAATTTGGGTCCTGGATCCACTATGATCAGTTTCCACTAATAGCCTTGAAAAAACTGTGAAGGGTGGCCCAATTGTTTGATCCCCTGACACCCATGTGGGAGACCTGGGTGCAGCTCCTTACTCCTAGCCATTGCAGCTATTATGAGAGTGAGCCAGTGGATGGAAGCTCTGTCTCTTTCTGTCACTCTCCCTAGCTCTCTCTCTAGTTCTCTCTCTCTCTCTTTCTCTCTGTCTCTCTCTCTCTCTCTCTCGGTCTCCCTACCCCCTTCCCTTCTGTAACTCTTTCAAATAAATACAAATTTTTCACAAAATAAAATAAACCTAGTTGTCAAACAAAATTAGGCATATTGCCTTTGGAATTAAGTTACAGAGACTGAAGAGAAAAAAATTACACAATTAAGGCATAAAAACAGTACACTAGGAAGTCATTGAGTACAAGGGATATGCATTTCCAATATTTCAATACAGCACCTGGTTTATGATGCCTTTCGAAACATGAAAAGAAAGACATAAAGGGAAGCAAATAGTAGAGTGTTACAGAAATTGAGAGGGAAGAAAGAGAAACGAAAAAAGAGAAAGGAAAACTTCGGTAACAGAGAAAAATGGAGAACTGAAGACAGAAAATAGAGGGCAAGAAAAACACAAGCCAATATAACAATGTTCTTGAAGTTCATTATCAAGCATTGATTCTTCATCACAACCTTTGAGACTCCAACTTTATGCTCCAAGTGCTCTATATTTACCTGACACTCGATAAAATTTTTACACCTATCTTAGCCAAAAGGCCAAGAAGCGATGGTAAACATTTTTAGACCACTCATTAACACACAGAACTTACTGGCTCCACAATATTGAACTTCTTGGACTCTTGAACTTCTTGGATTTGATAAACATAATCGAGGGAGGACTCAAAGAAGTTGTGCCTCTCCTTGTCCACCTGGAGGTCTGCCTGTAGAAGGACAGGAACAAATGTCACAAACTGGCATGGTCATCTCTAATTGCCAGTGCTTATTGAAACAACGGAATGCTAGAACTAGAGGAGGATTTAGCCAGCAATTAGTGATCCCATCCTTTCATGCAACTGATAAAGAATATGAATCCAAGAGGTAAAACATGACCGATCCAAGACTTTCAGTCTCTGGTGTGAAATGCAGGAGATGTAGAAGTTATTACCTTCACCCTAACATCAAGAAAAATGTTAAAGAAATAGAAAAAAAAATCAACAACTTTTCTGGGATCTAAAAGAAAAAAGAAATCTGCTTCTAAAACAGAATAGAGAAGCGAATATAGAGAATCAAGATTTACCGCAGCAGTAGACCCAGAGCTATGAGGAGCATGGTCAGTGCTAGGAACACGGCTATCTTATTTCACAACTCTCAAAGGAAATCCAAAGACAGAAACATGATTAACATAGGTCATTTTAGCCTCAGATAACTACAGGTACAGCACATGTAACACAGCTTAACCCCGGATCAGACAAATAGAAGATCTCAAGATCTATTCACTTCAGTTCCTTTTACCTCAACATCATCTTTCAATAAGAAATAAAAAGGTGAAAAAAATGGCATAAAAATGATCTGGGAAGAAAGAACAAGTTTCGGAACTCAATTCACATAAAGAAAAGATTATGGAATTATTATACACTATCAGCTTAAAATAGCTATGATTAATAATGATAAAAGCTCTAATGGACAAACAGGAAAACAAGCAAGAGTAGATGGATATTATTGTCACCCAGATGAAAACTCAAAGAAAGGAAATGCTTAAAATCAAAATGACATAGCAGAAATAAATACTTTTAAAAGCCTCGCTGAGAGCCTGGACAGGACTAAGAACAGATTCAGTGAACTTAAAAATAGATCATTTGAAGACGGAAATGCAACAAGAAAAAAAAATTGTGAAATACTTAGAGCAGAATATCCAACTTTTTACTTGAATATTCAATTCAGTTACTGAACTGTTTAGCAAGTACCAAAGTTATAACATGTGTATACTCAGAATATTGAAACAAGAAAAAGAGAAGAATTAAATATCCAAAATAATGATGACTTCAGAGTTTATTAAAAGGAAAGATCAAACAGGAAAAATAACAAATCTATGTATAAGCATACCATATCCAAGTATTAAAGACTGGAGAGAAATTTTTCAAAGAAGCTACAGCAAAGAAGCAGATGAATAAGGATAAAAAATACATCAGCTTCCCTCTAAGAAACCATGCAGAAGAAGAGCATGAAGGAAACTATTTCAGGAAAGGAAAAATGCAACAACTTAGAATTCCGTATAATAGTGATGGGAAAAAAAAAAGAAATACCTTGCCAAACAAACAAAATGTAAAAGAATGTGTCACCATTAGAACTGTCTTGCAAGAAATATATATTTAAAAAGTCTTCTAGCTAGAACAAAAATGAAACGTGACCTACAAAAGGAAGAGTAGTAGAGAAGCAATGAAAGAATGTAAAAACAAGTTCCATATTTGTTATACTTAACTGATGATTATCAAATAAGTGAAATGAATGACAGCAGTATTATAAGAGACTGAAGGGAGAAGCTATGAATTCTGAAATTGTTATACCACCCACAAAGCAGAAGAGCATTACTTGAAGTAGACCCGGATTAGCTGTAAATGCATATTGTGTGCTCTAGGGAAACCACTGGGAAGTCTTCAAAACAAATAGAATTGATATGCTAAAAAGGAAATGAAACCACATATAACTTTCAAATAAAGCAAGACAAGACATGAAAACACCAAAGGCATACAAAAAACATTATCTTCCCACGGAGACACCAATTTGAACAGTTATTCAAGCATCAATCTGCTTCTGCAAGATCTAGGAAAGTCAGGTAAGAGGCCACAGTGCCTAGCTGTAGCATAAATAATGAGAATAATGAGAAAACACACGCACACAAAAAGACAGAAAGAGTGGCATATGCCATCCCTCTCCCGACCCCAAGCAACACAGCAGGAAGGGAGATGCCATGAAGAAAGATGCCATTTGGGGGAGGGAGAGGAAATTAAATACAAGCATTAGCACCAGGCCAAAGTAAACTCCAGTGCCAGGAAGAACCACACAGAGCCTGCTTCCAGGCCCGTATCCAAAGACTAAGCATGAGCATGTGCAATTATTGGTCAGGATGCCAAGGGACTGCTTCCCGAAACATGCTCCAACCTTGGGGCAGCACAGAAGACTCCAGCTACTGAAGAGTGGGACAAGAACGTGAGCACAGGAGTAGATGTGGCAGAGCAAGGAGACACACCATGACCTTATAAAGAAGGAAGACCAAGCATAGATCTACTATTCGAGCCCTCAAGATCAAACCTGAACTCACTCGGATGTTGCAGCAGGAAAAGCTAAATGGGAGGTCTGCAAGTCCCTACACATGCCATGGACACCGGAAACATTACTGCTGTAGAATCTCACACACTCTCACAAGTCCTGAGCCCAGCTGAGGAAGCTAAGTGACCACACTGCTGTACTGTCACCAGAGAAAGAGCTCAGAACACACCACCCCTCCCTACACAAATTCTTGCTATATGGTGTCATCATCTTTCGATCCTACAAATCCAGAGTCCTCTGATGCAGTCAGGCAACTGCAGTCAGAAGCCCCGTTGACCCAGCCTTACAAATGAGCCAGGAGGATCTATCTACCTACCATATCTTGGTCCCAAGAAGAATACAGACAAGGAGCTGAAAGAACCTCCCTGAAGATGCTCCTACAGAACAGTTACCCTGGAAGCAGCAGAGTAGCCTTTCCCATGCACCTTTGGCCCCTAGAAGCAAAAACAGCTCAGCCCACAAGAGGCCAGAAAAACCAATGAGCAGTTCCTGTAACCCATCCAAGACACCAGGAAACAATGCAGGAAGTTTTTCTAAGTGCCTTGGCTTGCCAAGGCCACCTGAGAGACTATTGCAAAGCCTTGGTCACTCTTCTATGACCTCAAGAAATGGCTAAGCAGTAGAACACAGAAGCTCAGCCCACTCTGGCACTGAGAAGCAGACAGTTGGCCCTGATCTACTATCTTAAGCCTTAGGAAGCAAAACAGGTTGGCTACCAGAGGCCTGTGAAATCACTCGGGCAGCCATCACCTACGGACAGGTGCTATGTGCATACACACTGTGTTGGTATGGCCTTTAAGTGGCCCTCAAACACAGACAGACACTACCTCAATATCAGGCATGCAGCAGTAAAGATGGTCCCTTCCTCATACAACCTGTAGAAGCTGACAACTGTACATTCAGATGTGACTTCTATCCATCTAATGCTTGCTAGTCATGAATGAATCTTCCAGGGCTGCCTCTATAGTATAGCAGTCTAAATGTCTGCCTGCATTGCCAGCATCCCATATGGGTGCTGGCTCATGTCACAAATGCATTACTTCCCATCCAGCTCTGGGAAAGCTCTTGGACACCTGCACCCATGTCAGAGATCCAGAAGCTCCTGGCTCTTAGTTTTGGATCTGTTCAGGTGCACTGCTTTAGCCATTTGGGGAGCGAACCAATGGGCAGAAGAACTCCGTCTCTCCCTGTCTCTCCTCTCTGCAACTTTGTCTTTAAAATTTTTTAAAAATCCATAGAGCATACATTACTTTGGTTAATCTTTATAACAAATGTGCCACCATAACGCAAGATATTAACAGTAAGTAACATTATTGAGGGAAGGATTATAGGTATATGGAAAATTTCTACACCCTCCCTTCAATTTTTCTATAAACCTAAAAGTGTTCTAAAAATAAAACCTCTGAATTTTAAAAAAAGGTGACTAGTCTGAAGCCATTCAGATCAATTATTGCTTGAACAATTATAAACACTGCATCCTTCTACTCAAGAAAGTCCCCAGGGATAGCTACACATGTCACTGAACTCTCAGGATACTCTAGACGCTTTCACAGCAAAAACTTGCAGAAATCCCGACTGTTTTGGATCCCCAAGATCAACCCCAGGTTTGGGCATTTTCTAGGAGAACTCCACAGGGCTCAGTAAGAATCATACTCATAGCTACGACTTCTGTCAGTGACAGGACACAAGAAAAGCAAAAAGGGACAGGAGGTAAAACCAGGAGAAACTCGGTGTAAGCCTCCAAGAGTGCTCAGTGGTATCACACAGACACAGTTATTCTTTCAACACATTCTAGCAGCGCAAGTAGAATGTTATTTCCCGGGGAAACTCAATAGAGATGGAGTACTCTAGGATTTCCTTGGGGGACTAGTCATACAAACACCCTCGACTGAGCACACAACAAAATTCTCAACCTTCAGAAGGGCATCCCGTTCTATCCAAGCTGCTCAATTTCTGATCCAGTTCCCTGATAATGGCTTCGGAAAGCAGCAGCAGATGGTCCAAGTGTTTAGGCCCCTGCCACCCATGTGGGAGACCCAGATGAAGCTCTGGGCTAGTGGCTTCCGCCTAACCCATGGCTGGCTATGGCAGTCATCTGTGGAGTGAACTTGTGACTGAAGGTAACTCACTGTCTCTCACTCTCACTGTAATTGTGAATTTCAACATAAATCAATCTTAATAAAACTTTATTTTCAAATGGCCACCTCAAATTGGAAGGGCAGCATTCTTTCCCAAAGTAAATTTCCCAGATCCAGATGTGAATCTTCTCTTTTCCATTTCCCCACCCCTCCCCCATAAAAACATCCCCCCTCCACACACACACAGGTATGCAAAATAATTCTACTTGTAAAAAAAAAAAAAAAACAATGTGGGGTCCAACACAACGGATTAATGGGTAAATTCTCACCTTGCAAGCACCTTGCAAGCATGAGTGCCAGTTCATGTCTCTGCTGCTCCACTTCCCATCCAGCTCCCTGCTTATGGCCTGGCAAAGCAGCCAAGGGGGGCCCAAAGCCTTGGGACCCTGCACCCATGTGGGAGACCTGGAAGAAACTCCTGGCTCCTGGCTTAGGGTTTAGCTCAGCTTCGGCCATTGCGGCCACCTGGGGAGTGAACCAGTGGATGGAAGATCTTTCTGTCTTTCCTCCTCTCTGTAAATCTGATTTGTATTTCCAATAAAAATAAATAAATCTTTTTTTTTAAGGAAGCAATGTGTATTATCCTAGCCTCCGAACTGAAGCTGCAGAAGGGCATGGAGCATATCTCACTCTCTCTGGAGTGCTGATGCTCCCAACACAGTGCCCCATCTAGTACAGGCTCTCACCAAAGGGTGGCTTGTTGGAATCAAAGCCACTCTAAGTCTCATGTAACTGCTAGTCCTAGAACAGGACCAAAAGCAGGTAATGGATCGTCTAAGGGGAAAAAATGAAAAGAAATGTCCCTAATCTGCCAAATATCACAATGTAAACATATCCTAATGTGGACTCTGCCAACAGAGACCTAGAATTTAAAAGGAGTGAAGATCACTGAGTACCACTGCTCTGCTTATCCACGGGGAACTGAGACTGAGAACAGACTAAGCTAGCCAATGTCTCACTGTGAACCAGCGGAGGAACGGGCTCAGTAATGTAAGTCTCTTGAGTCCCAGGCCATAGGTTTAACTGCAAGTACAAACATCACACCTGGTTTACCACTGAGACAAGGTATTGGGAAAGCCTTGCCACAGGAAATTGCCACTGCTTCCAAACAGAATGGCCAGGGTAGGCAAGGGCAATTACACATACCTCTTGTAACTGAGATTCTTTCTTTTTAGATGACAGGTGTAAGTGCCGGTCCAGCAAAGAATAAAACCTTTCCCCATCCTTTTCAAATTTCTTTTTCCGCTCCTAAATGTGGGAGAAAGGGCACAGATTACACGTCTGTAGGTTGGCTTCCTGTCTGCCTAGAAATGACAAGGAAGGACACAGTGTCCTGCTTCATGTGGTCAATTTCAATAGCTCCTCAGAAGGAAAAAAAAAATCCATCATAGAATTTACTTTTGCAGTTGTCTCAGCAGTTTCAAGTTCCTAAAATACAACCCCAAATCATTGTGTCTACAGAAAGGGTAGTTCCTGTTGATACAGCTGGAGAGTCTGGGAGCTGTTACACAGAGAAGTACAATTTAAAAAGGGCCTGTTTGGCAGCAGCCTCATCTTCTGTACATTACCTTTCACATCTATTAAGCACTCGTTCAAATTCTTTTTAAAAGGAAAGACAGGGCCCGGCGCCGAGGCCAAGCAGCTAAAGTCCTCATCATGAATGCTCTGGGATATCATATGGGTGCCAGTTCTAATCCCACCAGCCCCGCTTCCCATCCAGCTCCCTGTTTGTGGTCTGGGAAAGCAGTCAAAGATGGCCCAAAGCCTTGGGACCCTGCACCCATGTGGGATGCCCAGAAAAAGTTCCTGGCTCTTGACTTTGGATCTGCGTAGCACCGGCCATTGCGCTCACTTGGGGAGTGAATCATCGGACAGAAGATCTTCCTCTCTCTCTCTCCTCCTCTTTCTGTATCTGACTTTCCAATCAAAATAAATAAATCTTAAAAAAAAAAAAGGAGAAACACAAGAGTGAACTGGCATGCCTTGAACAAGATAATCTATAGTGTAGTTACACAGCCTAATGATGAGTCAAAGATAACTAGAACCTGGACCTGCCTCATTGAAGTCATTCTTTGTTATTTTTTAAGCATATGGACTCAGCTTTAATCAAGTTCTAGGCTGCTCAGCACAACTGGAAATCACACAGCCTCCAAAGCAGCACTAACAATGCTCATTTGTCATGTTCCAACATTGACATTCTGCAACCCTCTCAACATCATGCTGGGAAAGCTCTGTAAATGGTTTCTATTGTCTCATAGGAAGTCAAACTGATTTGGCATCTACAAGGTTTCAGGGCTTGGAAAACAACAGGAACACAGAGTTTTAAAAGGGGGGTCCAGGGTGATAGCCTAGTGGCTACATCCTCGCCTTGCAGACTTGGGATCCCACACAGATCCTGATTTTTGTCCCTCCAGCTCCACTTGCAATCCCGCTCCCTGCTTGGACTTGGGAAAACAGCAGAGGATGGCCCAAAGCCTTGGGATGCTGCATCCACGTGGCAGACCTGGCTCCTGGCTTCAGATCAACTCAGCTCCAACCTTTTGCAGCCACTTGGGGAGTGAACGAGCAGATGGAAGATCTTTCTGTCTCTCATTCTCTCTACACATCTGCCTTTCCAGTAAAAATAAGCAAATCTTAAAAAAAAAAAAACAGAGTTTACAGGCCTCACATTAGTTTAGAGCTACAGGTCATCCGTTGCTGGGCAAGAAATTAGGACAGAGTTAAGTGGTCTTTGTCTTCTGATGAATGTGCTTTTGATCAGAGAAATGTTTTGATAGTGAGACAGAAGGCGAAGCTAACATTAGCACAGGCCTGCACCAGGCCAGGCACCGGGATACCTGCTGAAAGCTCATCAGCTCATTCCAGTCTTCACAATGCTGAGAAGCAGATACTGGGAGGGAAATGAAGGTTCAAAGGAAGTAAACTAATTTTTGTCCAAGGCCACATAATATCCAAGTTCTATTGGACTCCACATGACCAAATATAGCCCAGATGACCGTGGGAGGAAAAACATTTGGGAGTTTTACAAATAAATAACTGGAGAGTTTTGTGAATGAAGTTCATGAAAGACTCCTATTCTAGCCCTAAGATCCAAAATCCAGAAGATAAAGATTTTCCTAGGAAAGAAATGTAGGTAGGTCAAGCTGTTCCTCCAGCTGCTGAATTTATGTCGAGTGGTAATTTCTGGGAGCCAGGAAACCCATATACTTTCTCCAGAAACAGATCAAGTTTTATTGTAGGCCTCAGCCTCCTATGCTTCATTTTTAAAATGATGCTGAAATCTAAATTACATATACAGTTCATTCACTTTATGTACTACTTACTAATTTTTAATACATTTACAAAGCTACCCAACTGTCACAACTACCTAATTTTAAAATTAATTCCATCTCCTCCCCCAAAAAAGAAGGCCCATAGAGATGCAACATCACTCTCCATTCCCATCCCCTTCATCTGTAGCAGCCACAATCTACTTTCCAGTGGAACAAATATTCCTAGACTAGAGATTTCAGATAACTGGAATCATGCAATATGGCCTTTTGTCTAGTCTATGACTACTATACACTTGGCTTAATGTTTTCAAAGTTCGGCCACATTGTAGGGATGGGTATAATGTGCAGGGATCCAATATGGGCACTGATTTATGTCCCGGCTGCTCCACTTTCCATCCAGCTCCCTGCTTGTGGCCTGGGAAAGCAGTCAAAGATGGTCCAAAGCCTTGGGACCCTTCACCCACGTGGGAAACCCAGAATAATCTCCTGGCTCCTGGCTTCAGATCAGCTCAGTCCCAGCTGCTACAACTACTTGGGGTATGAACCATTGGATGGAAGATCTTTCTGTCTTTCCTTCTCTCTGTAAATCTCCCTTTTCAATGAAAATAAATAAATAAATAAAATAAATCTTAAAAAAAGATACATTCAAATACAGGTTATATGTAACAACAAATTTTTCTGGTCTCTTGCCCTAATCTTAGAAAAGCCACACTTCTTTAATCACAGGGGCTTCTTCCCAATGAACTGACCTAATCCTAATGGTTTCCCAATTACATTTTTAAACACCATGGATGGATTAAATTTCCATCTGTTAATATGTCACAAGAAAGGGGATACATGGGGCTATAAGCATCAGTCTAAAGGAGTGATCATTAGTGGATGGGAAGGGTAGCAGGATATAGGGATATAGATAAATATATATATATATTCACATATATACACAAATCTGATAATCGCTGCTAAAAACGGATTTGATGCAGGTAATAAGTACTGGAGTTCTACAGAACAGTAGAAGAAAAATCCACAGTATATGATAAAGGAAACAGGAGGTTTAATTTATACGAATCATTTATATTGTGTATATATGTTGTGAGATTATACTCTGCCCAATACAATGTACTCCATGCTAATCAAAAGTTTTGAAAATAAATTTTAAAGTTCAATACATAAAGCCTTGGGAGGCAATCAAACAATATATAAATCATAGCACTTTGGCTGCTTAGTTTTTACAATGCAACAGCACTGTTTCTAGCTCTAATTACTCTAGCTCTACAAATCTCATCTCATTATATCCATATATAACACTTTCTTTTAAGGTGTTATTATCTAGAAACTATCCAGCTATAATCTGGATCTGTAGATTTCTATGCCTGAAGTGTCCATTTTTAAGAATCTCTTTTCACCATCATTCTAGAAATTTCTCCTTCCCTCCGTTATATGTCGGAACTCTTTTTCAGTATTTGCTTTCTTCATTTTTTTTTTCTTGCTTTACTCCCTTGGTATGATGAAGACTTGGTGGAAAAGTTGTGTATTTAAGTGAGTTTTTGAGGCCTTGCATATTTAAAATGTCTCATATGTATTAGCTTGGCTAGATATAGAATGCTAGGTCATTAGGATCCTGTCTTAGTTCAGACAATTCAGCATTTCTTGATGATATCTCTAGGTAAAAGTCTATATCCATGGTGAAGGGCATTTGGTACCTTCAGCTTTTATGTTTAGACCTTACAGCTCTGAAAGAATTCTTTCAATCATTTCATGTATAAACTTTCATTGATCTTTATTATCTTTTTTACATCTGGACCAACTGGACTGGATTTTTCTATTTACTTTTCAGTCTTGTACTTCTTTTCCTTTGTTGACCTGCTGTGAAAAAGATTTATAAACCTTCTACTGATCTTTTCATTTTTACTATTATATTTCTAATCTCTATGATTTCATCTTTTGTTACTTTTGTAGCATTTCATTATTTCAAAGGGGTGGTCTATTTTGAGTATCTGAAATTATAAAAGCTATATATATTTTGAGTATTCCTTCTACTTGTATTCAACCTGCTTGTTTCATTCTCTGGGTGGAACCTCTGTTGACTATGGAAGAGTGGGGCCAAAAGGCTGGTCAGAAGTTCTAGTTACATAAATTGGAATGTCAACTTTGGTTGACTCATTTCTTTGGGCAACTTGGGATATTTAAATTTTTTTTTCTTTTTCTGCTCCTATTTCCAGATTTCTTTTGCTTCCAACTCTTAAATCTTGAGCATTCTCTGCTGTAATCAGGATTATTCTTGCCTTTTCCTATTGTCATCTTAGGATTTTGGTCTCCTGGGTAACTCAGACAACACTCACTTATTTGCATTCCAGCATGAAAAAAATAAGTGTTAATGCTTTCTATTCCACCATTCCTGTTCTTTTGGCTGTCTACATTTAAGATGTCTATTTACAACAGTTTCAGGTAGGTCACCTAATAGAATATAATTCAATTACCATGCTTTGAGTTATCATTTCACTGAGAGGGAAAGAAAACAAGCACAGACGTCTCATATGTTTGTTCACTATTCAAATGCCCGTAATTGACTGGGTAGACACAGACAAAGCCAGGAGCAGGAAATCCAATCCCAGGTTTCCCACATTAGTAGCAAGAATTCAATTACCTTGAGCCATCACTGCTTGGTCCAGCAGTCCACGTTAGCAGGTAGCTGAAGGTAAGAGGCACAGCCAGGTGTGAAACCCAAAGATACTCCAATGTGGGATACAAGCACCCTAACTGGCATCTTTTCTGCTAAGTTAAACATCTATCCTGAGGACTTTGTTTTTTATCTTAAAATACAATCAATAAAGAATCCACAAGTTAAGTTCTAACAATTCAGAAGAGTACAAGGCAGTAAAAGTGGAAAATCATTTCTTTCTCCAAGCACACTACTTAACAGTCACTACTAAAGAGGCAACCACTACCTAAATATGTGAAAAGCTTTGTTACTGAGTG